TGACCCTGCGCTTCGAGATGTGACGTGAGATGCAAAGATGCAAAGGGGGAGGGTTGCAGCCAGCGCGTGCCGGAGTGGCTGAAGGCTTTTTTTTGCTTAACGCCAGCCAGAAATATCTGCGACGCACCCGCAGCCAGTCGATCCTATGACGCCGTTGGACGCCCCCCAAAAGCACTTGCAGCATCGTAAGAGAAGCGCCCTTCAACTCTCTCGCGCATCTCCATATTACTCGCATCGCAGTCTCACCGGCATCTCTGCCATGCCAATGATGGAGTCCGGCATAAGACAAGTGCCGCAGAGGAACGCCGCACATACGAATACCGTCATCGCTCCGAGTCATAACAGGAGTTGTGCATCGCGGCTGTCGTCTATCTGTCGGTAATAGTCCGACAAGGCCTGCCTATAATCACCTCTGCAATACCGGATGTCGTGCAATGTCGTGTACATAGGTATTGGTCTGCTGTGACCCGGGTCCGTCGCTCGGGGATTGGGAATTACAGCATTTCGGCAGTGTCACGATTCCCTTTCATTATTAGGCGCTGCTAAGGACGAAAAAGCAGGTCGGGTACCTTGCTTTAGCCCAGGAACCGACCCTCGCAGCACCGACCAGCATGGAGCCTGCGCTCAGCCCCTGACGCCCCTTTGGCCCCCTCCTCCATCTCTCTCTCCAACCGCAAGTCTCCAGATGGATCGCACCCAGCGAAAGACAGCCGTCAAAATCGTCGTCCCTGTTCTTCCTCCTTCAGGCTCTCGCTACGCAAGTGCTTCATCAAGGGGTCGTGGCGGCGATGTGGCGCCGGCTCTTGAGGAGAATGAGATCGGCGCGCGGTAGGTGGTCCTGAAATGGTTCATTGAGTGCGACGCTGCTGTGCACTGGGTGCAGCATGCGCTCTCGCTTTCTCCTCCTCAGTCCCATCCTCATCTACGAAGTACCGCGCACGCACACTACGGATACTGCGAATCACTTTTGCTGGATGCAACCTCTAAACTTCCCGGATGCCCACGAGAAGCCGTAGAGCCAAGACGTGTCCCGTGGAGTCGAGAAATCTCCGTTTCTCCATGATCGCCAGCGGTGATCGAGATGAAGGGCGGTCTAGGCTTTTTTCCAAAGCGGGTTGCTTTGCTTTGTTGTCTGGTCTTCCATTGTTGTTTTGTTTTTGGTTTTGGTTTTGTTCTCTCTGAGCGCATTTGAGTTTTGTCGTCGGGGCTTTTTCGTCTGAGAATGCCGTCAATTGACTTTTGTTTTTTCGTCCCTTCTTCAGCCCATGTCCTCAGCTGGCCTGGGCAGAGAGAACAGAGACCTGCCGAACATTTTTTTTTGTAATGCCCTGCTGCGAAACGGTCGCCTGCTGCGCGCTCTCTCATTGTCGCTGCTCTTTTGTGAGACGCTGACTGGCACAGACGAAAAGCCCGGGATGGCCCTGGCTGCAAAAACACCCAGCAGGAAAACGTGAGATCGAAACAGCGGGATGATCTGACGAGAAATTGACCATCATCAGACGGAAGTATTTTGCTTGACAGGACCTGCTCATCCAGGTACCGTTGCCCAGCAAGCCACAGAGCCTGGCATCTCTCGGGGGCCAAGCATTGAACCCCCGAGAAGGGCCGTTTCAGACCCCCGAGGCGATCCCCTTTTTCTTCTTCTCCCCTGTTTCCCCCTCCACCACCACCTTTTGCTCCCCCAACGACCTCGACCTTGACCTTGACGATGGCCCCGGTGGACGGCCCATCGGAATGGGGGCTTTTTCTCTTGACAATGGAACAATGAACGGGACCTCTTTCAAGTCGCAGGCTGCCGTCGATTTCTCCCCGGAATTGACGGCAGGGGCTTCATCTGGGATTCTGGGAAAACTTCCAGGTTGCGGGAAAACAGCGCAGTCTCTCCCACTCTGATATCTCTGCAGGGATCAGGACAACAAATCTCTCCCCTCAGGGTTCGCCCCAGAAGTGGTGTCACAGACTGATTGTGCAGAGATTATGTCAACGACATGCGTCTCCAGAGCTTCAGGCGACCGTATTCCAGCTCACCAGTTCACTACTGCATCTTCACCCACTTGATTAAATGAAGCCGACCGCGTCCCTTATCCCAGCTTCCCGGCACTTACCCAACTTTCTGGTCCATGATCCATCTGCCCTACATTTTGCAGCTTCTGCGCCTCTGCCAACTGCTCATGCTGGGTCAATTAGACGTGATTAATCTCGCAGGTAATTCGCGCTGGAAATTGCCCTGCCGAGGAGCTGACATGTCCTTCGCGCTTCACCTGAACACCCCGGACAGGCCTTTATGAAGGATTCGTACGCCTTCACTTCGGCTGATTTCGCTCTGTAGGCGCTACGTTGGATGATTGCGTGAGAGCTTACGGATACGCCTTGGGTTCGGTCCTTTGCTGGGTCGCTTCGATTTTTGATCGATTGATTGACAGATGAGCTGTCACCGCCTGCGGCCTGAAGCCCCCGCTGCCAGCGGAAACACGGCCCAGCTGGTGCTCTCGGTGGTGCCTGTCTCTCGCTCGCCTACGAACGAACACCATCGCGGACCACCGCCTGGGGGCGCGTAAGTTGCTTGAAATGAGACGAGCCCGCTTTCAAGGCACAATTGCCCGAGAGTGAGATATCTGGCTCAAACTCCCGCTGCATTTTTCGTATCTCGCGCGCGCGAGGCACAATTTGCCTGCCCCGCCATCGTCGTTGTCCTCGTCGCCACCTACCTAGTGTATTGACTTTCAAAGACAAACCCCGCCTTTATCGTTGCTTCTTCCAACTTCTAGCCACCTCACCTCCCTCACACCGCATCTCGCAGCTCATCGTATTCAAGGCTGCAGCTCTGCCGTCCGTTCCTTCCTGCATCCGATGTCTTGACAGCGTCTTAATCAAAAGTTGCCCGACCGGGCGATCCAGGCCGGCGCAGCCGTCGCAGACTTCAAACACGGTAGCTCCCTGGCGCCGTCTCCTCCTTCGAGGCTTGGATTGCTTACCTGGAGAAGGGGGGTTGGTTTGCCCTTCTCCTGTCTGCCCCCCCCCCCCCCCCCCCCCCCCCCCCCCCCCCCCCCCCCCCCCCCACCCCCCCCCCCCCNCCCCTTCCCCCCCCCCCCCCCCCCCCCCCTCTCTCACCTCAGTCACCCCTTCTCCGTATTGTTTGTTGAACACACATTCGGGTCGCTCACCCGAACCCTGTCGGCCAAGTTCATGCGGAAGCTCCGTTGCCCCATAAAACACCCGGCAACGACATCCCAAGCCCGCCGCACCGCACCTCCATCTCGAACAAGTCAGGACCCCGGGTTCTCAAAAAGGCTGAAGGAGGAAGGAGAGTCCAGACTGCGACACTCAACCTGCAACATGAGGCTTAGGGTTTTTTTTTTCTTGCCCGCATCTTCTGACATCGCTTCCGCATTGCCGTCCGCATGCGAGGAAGCCGCCCCGTGCCAAGTGGCATGCGCCACAGGGTTCGCACCGCATCGTCCTCGTAGGGCGGACGGGTGGCCGCGTCTTGGCTGGGCCAAAGACTGGACCTGGTGGAATTGGCCCACCAACTAGAGGCTCTGTTGTTGACTTCATCTGTTAATGACGCTGATTGAGATGACTTTAAGTCTGGCGAGTTGTTTCCGAACCGAGTGGTTGGGATGATGTACGGATTCCAGGTGCCTCTCTGCTTGATGAGCAGGGTTCGCTTGGCAGAGGAAGTTTTCTCTGTCCCGTTGAGACTGGCTATATCTAGCGACAGCACGCACAGCGTTTGCCTGTCATCATAGATCGAAGAAGCTTGCGTGTGCCCATTTCGAGACCACTATAGCTTGAGAGCCTTGAAACGGACGATATCACTTAAAGTTGATCCCAGAAGCCTAGGATAACTTACATCGCCCAAGGACGCAAGCTATGTGACGATGCTCAAGAAAGAGCTGCAATCCGCGTCCTTCCAACTCAACCCCGTTTTATAACGACTTGGCTTCGAGACTGGGTATCCGTTGACGTGGCGACTTACAACTTGGTCAAGGCACGGAGACTACGACTAAGAAGTCCAGTCTGTCATGTTTCGACGGTGCTACTACACACATCGAATTGCACGGCGCGTTTACAGCAACATTGACATGGACGCAGCTCGTTTTCAGATACTTTGATCTGACTTGAGTCCCGTCTTCGGCCACTCTCGGCACGCCATGGGATGACTCCAATAACATGATCTCGGCATGTCGAACTTCAACAAGAGCAGATGCATAGCGTTCAAAAGACACTCGAGTTCTTTTTCATCATCGGTACAGCTCCCATTTGCGAAATGTTCCAAACAATGTTTGCAACCTGCACTCCCGCCACGTTTCGTATCCGAAGACGTGTGTCTCGACGGGAAAGGGCATCAAAAACGAGCAGGCTTGGAACAGACTGGACTAGGTTACAGAGTAATGGCCGCGCCAGAGCAAAAGCACAGCTGCAACACCACGAAGGAGGACTGCTCACTGGATATCACAATGTCTTTGATACCCGCTTTCACCAGCTGCAAAGCATCGAGAGGGGAGGAAGGTGCTTGCCTTTGAGGGGTGTCTGACCTCCTAGGTGCCCGCCTTTTGGGATGCTGTCGCCCCTGGTAACTGCCACAAGTGCAAAAAGAGAAGCCATCGAGAAGGACCTCCCACTGGCTCTCGCCCTTTTCCCTCCCATGAAACCAAAGTATGACATCGTCGAGCCACCTCAACCCCTCGCCTTCTGGCCTCAGAGTTTTCCCTCTGCCCTACCTCTGCCTTTCCCTCTTCCCTCCTGCTGCATCAATCTCCCCCAGCAGACCTCGCCAAGATTTTGACAACTCTCACTTTTGGCTTCTTGGCCTCCCAAGACACTCTTTTTTCGTTCGCTCGATACCTTCATTGCATTATCTCATCTCCTTGGGCCGTTGAGCAATTATCTTTGGATTGGTTTTCGGTATTTTGCTACCCATCCGATTATCACCACCTCACGTTCGCTTGGAGATCAGCGCAAGTAAGGCAAAAAAACAACGACAGCTTCGAGCCGCAATGAAGAAGCTCGCCTGCTGCGGCTTCGTGCCGTATCGATGGAACGCGAAGAAGGCCGAGTCGGACACTCCCAAGACCGACCCTGTGCCGAGCTCGCGTCCTGTTTCTGCTTCCAATGTGTCCCTCCCGGTGCCCCCCGGTCCCCATCACTACCCCCCGGCCGCCCCGATGAACAGAGCTAACACGGGCTCGTTTTCATCGCGCGGCAATGCCCGAACTCCCGACTCTTTTTTCGATGGGGATATCAACCTTGCTGAATACGCTGACGACGCGGAGGATGACGACAACGGACCCAACCCGCGCGATGGCCCTATCGTCAGATTGGTTCGACGTTTGTCCACAGACAACAAGAACGTCACTGGCTCGAACCCCCCGGCCAACCAAAACCCTGAGGCTCTTAAGGAACTTAAGAGAAGGAAGGCGGCGGAGGATTATCGGGCATCAGTGAGGCTCCAAAACCATGCGCGGATTCAGGCCGAAATTAGGAGCGAGAACAGCGGTTCTCGGTCTGTGTCTACGCGTGGAAGTAAGAGAGTCCGCGAGTTGGCAACAGTTATGGAAGATGCCAACGACCAGGGCGCCAACGATCGGACAAGCAGCATTACCAGTCACCACAGCCAGCAATGGCGAAAGGGACTCGAGTTCTATGTTGCTACTAGCGAAGGAGTTAGAGGCGTCGGATATCAGCCACCTAGAACTCCCCAACACCCGATCACGAGGCCCCCTGCTGCGAGACTTAGGAACGACCACACCGGCAACATCAGAGGTGACCGCCGTCGAGGCAGCTTCCCGAGACCCGACCTCGGTAGGGCCTCCGCGTCTCAGATCGTGCTGCGCGAGCGCGGTTCACTGCCTGCTATGCCCCCTCCTCCGGTCTTGACTGCCAGACAGACCCCCGACGGCCAGGATGACGCTTCTTTCAGAAGCTGGAACCTTTCCCAGAACACCATTCAGGGTGACAGCCAGGCCACAATTTCCAACCGCACTGGAGATGTCTCTACCGGAACCACACAGAACACCTCCATTTCCGACATCCAAGGCACTTCGCAGTCGAACACTCGTCGCGGTGAGCTCAGCCAAGGAAACAAGCAGGCAGCATGCACCCCTGACAGTGTCACCGCTTCCAACTACTCTCGCGCTTCAGAGTCTTCGCAATCTCAAGAAGGCGAGGCTTTGAATATCTGGCTGCTTACTCAGGACTCCCAAGATACCTCAGCTCCCGCTAATGAACAGCCTGCGAAGGGCGAGCCTGTGTCTCGCGAGACTGTTTGCAACGAAAACTTGCCCAACACTGACAAGGAGAACACCCACTCCCCGGTTTCCGCTGGCCTTCCTGCGTCTGGAACTTCTGGTGAACTCACAATCAAGGCTTTCCCAAGAGATGAAAGCTCCTCAACCGATCTCGAGAGTGCCTTGGCCATGAACTTGGAAATGGAAGACGAGATGGATCGGAACACTCGCACGTCAGAGGAAATGAGTGTTAGCGTTCAAGAGCCCGACCAGGAGCAAGTCTCCAAGCAGACTGCTGAGAACAACGAACACGAGCCCAAGGGTAAGGCGCTTCCCGCCCAGGAGGATCCGATCCGCCACGACAACAATGAGGAGAAGGGCAAGATCATCGTTGCTACCAACTTGGATTCCATTCCTCAGTATCAGTCTTCTTCTGTTTATTCTTCGACGCAGAACACTCGTCATCCTTCCCCCGTCGGCTCCAAGCAACCCAGCAGCGACGAAGATGCGAGATACAGCCTGGAAAGCTTCAAGGGGCTTGAGTTGTCCCCATTCAGCGGTAGGAACTTTGCATGATGGTCCATGAAACGCAGTCAGCTAACAAAAAAAAAACAGTCCCTAAAGACGCCCGCCAGGAGGGCTCCGACGATACCTACCGCACGGCCGCAAGCAAACGTTCTGGATCAGACCCAGTGATTCCCCCCATTGCAGTCAAGCAAATTGTTTCGGGCAGCGTTGAGAAGTCCCAGAACAAGCTTGCTCCCGGAACAACTGCGCCTACTGCCACCAACATCCACAGCCGGAAGTCGTCATTCCTCAACCTTTTGCTTCATCGCGCTGAGTCAAGCTCTATTGGCCATAGAAAGTCGAAGAGCCAGCCGTCCGCTAAGCTCGCCTCCCTGAACAATTCGTCCGAGGCGCTGGATATTCCCAAGCGGCTCAGCCATGCTAAGAAGCTCTCCAACTTGAGCATCAGATCCCATATGCAACCGATCTCAGCTGCTGATGATTTCGCTGCCCCCCCGCTGAAGGAGAGTGCTACCGTTGTCTGGAAACGTGCCTTCGAGCTTGAGCACAATCAACGCGACAAATCTGTCGGACCGGCTAACTCTGAAACCACAATTGTCAGTCCAGTCCCTGATGATGATGCGGATAAAGATGTTGCAGTCAAGGACAACGGAGACATAGACGGAGGCAACGTCGTAGTCACTGCAGGCACCCAGTAGAACTCGGGCCCGGCGAAGCGCGCAACACCTCCTGCCTCGTGGGCTAGATTCGCATCTCACACCCGTGAGGAGCGCAACGCCGCTGCTGGCTCTACCGACCTTGTCAAGCAGAAGGACTTCGCTCTGGCCAGCACGACCGATCAGCAAGGCTGGGTTACAGACAAGAAGATGGGCGCCAATGGTGACAAGGACGAGGAAGCAGCTCACTCGCTCTCGAAGAAGTTTGGCAAGGCGATGAAGACCGGTCTAACCAAGATGGTGCAATCCAAGCCGAAGGGCAAGTCCGCTGAGCTGGAGTATCCCGAACTCGAGATTATGCCGACCAAGGGTGGATACAAGGACGTCGAGGCCATTCAGCGAAGCGTCGCGACGCTGAGCCCTAGGTTGCGGGCCAAGATGGCCACTCATCCGGCCCAAGCGCTCGCTGATATGGAGAACGAATCGAGACAATACGGGGGAGCCCACCACACTAGCGACGGCTCTGCTGACACCATTGCTCTTAGAAACGACGTGAGCAAGGATGTTGCTACATCCGCCAAAGTTGCCTTGTCTATTCGCCCGGTCACGCCTGCCAGCCTGGCCATTGCCCCCAACGGTGATTTGACGACCCCGACCACAACGGATCATTGGGCTACTCCAGCTAGCCGTTTGTCTTTCAGCTCTACCTCCCACACTGAGGAGGGATACATTTCGGCGGTGGATGACACCGAGTCCAGTGGCAAATTGTAGTGAGACCCGAGGGCCACTCGATATTGGTTGTCTTGTTTCTTGAGGACGGGAAAGGAGATCACAAGACGAGATTGAAATTCAGCTGCAAGATGAAAATTGGGTAAGTCTTGCTTTGCAATGTGACAATTGGATGAACCTGCTGACATGACATGCCAGGAACTTGAACAGCGAAGCTGAAGTTCAACGCTTTGGTTTCTTCATATTTGGCCAGACTGAGATTTGGCAAAAGGATTGGTACCAGCCGATACGAAATGAGAGTGTGTTCCTGGTCAGTCTTGTTGGCTCGCGGCCATTTGTGTTATGCTAATCATCCATCCAGGTTGACGACAGTTTCAACCCTCGCACCAACGATAATGCCCATCGAGGGCTCTTAATGTCATGAGTAAACGAAGTGATTTTGTGGCTTGGAGGTCTCGTACGCGAGAAATCAACAGGGCATGAATCACGGTTTTTGTACGGTATAAATTGGGGTCGAAGGATGGAATTTGGAATTTTCCCCAAGTGTATAGTTTCATAGACACCGAATTCTAGTGGTAGCTCAAACTGGGCACGGCAAGGCTCTTGCCTTTCTGCCGTCCCTTTTTCGTCGACGAGCTGAGGTTCGAAGAGACGTCCTCATGATGGCCGATAATGGAAACTAAGCAAGAGTAAGCTGGCGGACACGAAACACGGATAGAAACGCCACGGCGGCCTAGGGTAGGTAATATCGGGCGACTTCACGATGACGCCAAATCTGCTGGATCAGACGATGCGGCCCCCATTGCCGAGTCTGTGTAGTCATGATTCATTAATTAAAAGTCTTGCCGAGCACACCCAGAAGTGCCCAAGACCTGCATAAGATGTCCGTCCGTAATCTCCAATACACCAACGTGATACCCGAACTCCACATACATAGACACAACCGCCCAAAAGCCAACTCGAAATGAAATACAAGTGCCTTAATAAGGATTCCTATACCTTAACCAAACAAGACGTTCTCGTAAGCCTGCTGATCGAGGTGCCTGAACAGCACGTCCTGGAGCGCGGCCCTGCTCTTTCCGATCTGCGGGACAACGCCCTCGATCTGTTGGAGATTGTTCCGCATGCTCTCCATGTGATTGCCAACCTGGCTGGCCAGTCCTTGGAGCTCCTCGTCCTCGAGATCCTGAAGAAAAAGTTAGCACTTGTAGTTCTACGAAAGAGGCATCCGCTATGCGGGGTGGGAGGCTGCTTGCTCACCTTGAAAAGACCGTCGCCCACGTTCTCGTCGGGGACGAACTTAAAGTCTTCATCCCCGACAGCCCAGTCTTTGGCGCCCTTGTTCTGCTCGGGAACGAGAACGTGCGTCTTGCGCAGGTTGTCCTTGAAGTTCCTCGCCTCGGACTTGGCATTGGCCTCCAGGGTGCTGAGAGTCTTGTAGTCCTCCTCGAGAGCGCGCTCCTCGCGCTCCTTCTCGGTCTCGAGCAGCCGCACGGCGTGCAGCAGCGGATCGAGCTGTCTCTCGAGCGATCGCACGCTGTCGACGACGCGCTCAAAGTCGAGCTCCTCCGCGCGGCCGGCGTCGTCGTTCTGGCTCTTCCTGCCCGCGCGGGGCGGCGCCGAGGCCGGCGGGAAGGGGAGGCCGCGGGAGAGTTTCTTGTTGAGGCGGTTCGTGACGAGGCGCAGGGCGGAGGAGGCCTGGTCGCGGCGTTTCTCGTTGGAGGCGAGGCGCTGGAGGACGGGGCGTTCTGCGAGACGCAGCATGCTCGAAATGAGGGAAAGGGAAGGGGGGAGGAGGGGGGACCATTTTTCCTCGATTGTCGAGCGGGGGATCTGGCGGACGCGTTCGGCGATGTGACGGTATTTCGCAGGCGGGCGGTGGGGTTTGGGGGTTGGGGCTGCGTCTTTCTGTTTTTGTTGTTGCTGTTGCTGTTCTTGTTGCTCGTCGGATGTGCGGCGGCGACGTTTCTTTGGTTGCTCAGGGGCTTCTTCAGAGGGTTCTGCGGGGCGCTTCTTGGATTTGCGAGGTTTTGCAGGTTGGTCCTCTTGGTCCACTGATGCATCAGAGGTGCGCGGACGACCTCTGCGGCGGCGTGCTGTGTCTGGCGAGGGCTCCTCAGGTTCTTCCTCCTGAGAAGGCTTGTTACGCCGCTTCTTAGTCGGCTTCTCTGTGGGCTGCTCCTCGGCCGGGGTCGGTTGCTTGGGTTTGCGCCTGCGGCCTTCCTTTGGTTCGGGTTGTGAGGCTTCTTGGGAATCCTCCTGAGATTGAAGAGAGGGACGGCCACGCTTCTTCTTCGTGGGCGCTTCCTTCTCGGGCGCTCCTCTTTCGGGCGAGGCTTGTTCCTTGTCACCCGCAGCTGGACGTCCGCGCTTCTTCTTCGGGACTGCTTCAGGTGATGCTTCCTCCTCAGGGGCGTTCCCTTCAGCTTCAACTGCCTTTTCTTTGGGCTTTCTTCCACGCCTCTTAGGCGCTGCCTCCTCCTCTGCAGCCTCCGGCTCTTCTATAGCTTCAACGGCCTGCTTATTCAGTGACGGACGACCACGTTTCCGCTTGGTAGCTGGTTCCGGTGCCGGCTCTTCCTCTTGTTGCTCCTCAGCGACCTTGATTGGCCGTCCGCGCCTCTTCTTGCCCGCATTTCCTGCGTCCGCTTGTTCGACCTCGACTTCCTCTTGAGACTCCTTTGCGGCTGGTCGGCCGGCTTTCCCTCTGCCTGGCTTCTCTGCAGGAGCTGATTCTTGGTCCTCAGGCTCGTTATCTTCTTCCCTTACAGCGGCTCTCTTCTTTTTCTTCGCTTGGGATGACTCTGAAGGCTCGGGTCCCTCGGCCGTAGCTTCGTTGGCCTCTTCGCGCCGCGGCCTGCCCCGCTTCTTGGGCTTGGAGGCGTCTGTAGGCGATGGCTCTGGCTCGGGTTCAGGTTCGAGCTCTGGCTCTGCTTCCTTTCTTTTGCTTGGTCTCCCTCGCCGTGCTGGTTTTGGGGTCTCGTCGGCATCCTCGGCCTGAGCAGTGGGCTCAGCATCCGCAGCGCTTGGGGATGCTGCCGACGCGTCGTCGACCTTGGACGCGTTGGAAGGACGACCGCGTTTCTTCTTTTGCTCTGCGGGTTTTGGAGGCTGTAGTGGTGTCAGACATATGTCAGAACATCATGCTCAGGGCCACATACCATTGTGATGGGATGCACTCCTATCTGGGTTGCGCATTGGTGGTTGCTCTAGAAATCACCAAGTCGGTTCGGAGCTTCAGACGCGTTCCCCTCTACCTTAGACAATGGAACTGCAGCAGGTACGTATCTGATACAGCTTTCAGCCACAGCTCGACAGACATATGTGGCTGTGTGACACGGAATGTGGCTGCTTCCCCGGACCGTTGTCCTAGCTGGCGGTGGACGCTACGCCTCTTCGGGTTAGGGGCTACGGAAGCAGCAAACGGGCAGGGTTCCATTTTCCATTGGCGTTCCAGCGACTGGCCCAGTGGTTCTGCAGCTGCTGGTCTCCCGGCCAGTGGGTTTCACAGTGTTCTGGTCCCCCCAGGCGCCCCAAGCTCCTTGCACCGTGATTTCGTCAGGTAGCCGGATCACCAAAGGCAAGCACACCACAGCGGAAGTGGGCAAGGTTCAGGAGGTGCCAAAGGGTCATTTCAGCATTTGCACCTCTGCGCCCCTTCCACTTTTTTTTCGTCCCGACTCTGTGTCCTCTTTGTCTCCAACCGGATCCCATTACAGATAATTCTTTCTCCTCTCCTTCCCTCAAACCCCCATCCCGTTCATCGTCCCTCCCTTGGCCTCCGGCAGCGTGTGTAATCGGCGTCATCTCCGTTTGCCCTGTTTCTTGCACATCCGCTAGTTCGCGTTGTTTCCCCTCACGCCAACTTCCGCATACCCAGCATCCCGTCGCTTGGACGCTCAACCGCGACACCTGTCTCAAACAGCTCACAACTCCTTTCAACCACACCACAACCGACAACATGCGCGTGTCTGCCACCACAATCCTCGCCCTGCCGCTCCTCGCGGCCGCGGCTGAGTCGCCATTTGAGCAGTACAAGGCCCAGTTCCAGAACTTCCTCAGCTCCTTCGGTGCCTCTGCGCCTAGCGCGACTAAGCAGGATACACCCGAGGCTGCGGCCCCCGACGCCGCCGCAAAGTCCATCTCAGTTCTGACTGTTGACAACTGGAAGGATGTCCTCTACGCGCCCGTCAAGGCCGAGGCCACAACACCTGAGGAGTGGTGGGTTCTGATCACTGGTCGCAACAAGACCTGCTTCGGTACGTCGCTTTCGCATCTTGCCTCCAGGCTACATTGGGTGCTAACTCTATTCTAGGTCACTGCGATAAGATCGAGACCGCCTTCAACGAGTCCGCGTCCAAGTTCGCCAAGCTGCCCGAGTCACCTCACCTGGGTCTCCTCAACTGCGACGACGAGCCCGTTCTCTGCAATGCCTTCTCCGCCAGCTCTGCCTCTCTCTGGTCTATCGGCATGCTGCCCCCCGGAGCGCAGGTCGATATCTGGAGGAAGCGTCTCAACGTCACGACCACCACGTCTGACGACATCATTGACCTGTGGAAGAAGGGCAACAAGGAGGACTGGATTCTGACCGAGAACATCTTCCATCCCTTCAACAGCTGGGTCGCCCAGAACAACCTGTCCATCCCCGTTGGCTACTTCTTCTGGGCCTTCAACCTGATCCCCAACTGGCTCTTCATGCTCCTTGTCTCCTTCGGTAGCCGCACCCTTATGAACCGCCGCATGAACAACACCCTCGACGGCCGCCAGGCTGCTGCCGGTGGCGCCGCCCCTGCTGCCGGTGCTGCACGATAAATGATGCTACTTGGGTTGGGGAGCGAGTGAGAGGATGGGTCTGGTAGGCATGACAGGCGATATAGACACCTGGATGGCCAGGAAAGGTTCACGTCCCTTTGGACCAGGTAGCGCCAAATAGTAATTATAGTTGGATCAGCGTTTCCCTTCACATGCATCTTGCACGCTTTTGAGACCTTCGAGGACGTCCTCCTTCAGCCGGGGATTGGAGAGCTTGCCGTAGCGGAGATCGCTCATGGTGCCGACCGTTTGCTTGACGGATTCGAGCAGCGCGGCCTCTTGCGCCTCAAGCTGCTGAATCTCTGCCTCCAAATCTGCAATGGCGGTATCCATCTCCGGGATAATGGAATTGAGCGTGTGCTTGGGGTCCGCGCCTACCGAACCAAAAAGCTGCCTTTCGTGTCAGTAGCCCGCCCACCTCTTGCCACAATAATACATGCGACATACCGCTCTTTCGATCTCAAGCTCCTGGTCCGCATCCTCATTCGCGGCCTTACGTCTGGCAACTGCGATGTCGCGTCTGATGTACTTTCCTCGCTTCTCCTCCACGGCGATGTTCTCCGTGACCGTGTCGACCAGCGCCCTCCTCTGGTGCTGGAGGTCGCGATACAGCAGGCGAATCTGTGGGTTCGTCCGCTGCGCCTTTGGGAAAAGCTCTGTGAACTCCTCGAGGCTGATTACGGACGGCAGCTGGGCCGGTACCGTGAGGTAGTTGTGCAGGATGGCAGACTCGGTGGGCGCCATGGTGGAATGCTGGCCGTTGGGTTGGTGAGGGATGTGATGTAGTGAGTACAAATTGGATGACCACAGAAGGACTTGATGATCGCCGGCGCGTATCGGGGTTGAACATGCTTGTACGCGACAGAAGGAAAGTGCTGAAAGCACCCCGCGTTAAGGGCACTTTAGGCTGCCCCACCGTGCTTGCCCGGTTTAGGCCACGGGCAGCAATAGAAATGGGTCGCTATCACCCCCGTGGAGCTCCGGCGTCATTGCAGCCATGGAATGTCACTCTTGCATTTACAACAACTAGGACTGCCTTGCCTGCTACCACTAAGCTGCTATGAAGCCACCCAACTTTTACGAGTATGGTTACAACTCGTCTTTTGGCTGCTCCGTTCCAAGACAAGGAAACACCAAAGGCCACTCATCGATAGTATCCTGTTTCGGTCGTCCAATGTTCTCGCCCAAAGCATCAATGAGTGTACCATCGTCCAGATCGATCGCCCATACCATCGTCCTGCAGCCCAGTTAGCTCGAACCCAGTCATCGTGTTCCCGCTTCAATGCAAGACTCACCCTCCCAAGCAACGCCGATTCGCGAAATCGACCTTCATCCCCAGAGTCTTGGCATCGTCCCAGCTGACCCATTGATCCGTGTCCCAAGTCACAATCATGACGCCCGCTTTCTCGTCAAATGTAAGCGTCGCGCCATTGTCGATGATTTTCACAATCTCGGCGGCGGACAGGACACCAGGGGTGCCGGTGCACTCTCCTCCCTTGGCACCTTCTGTGAACTCACAGCCCGCCGTCATGCAGTTGGGATCTTTCATTGTGAAACCTGACGGGCTCGTGTTAGCTACCTGACACACCACGTCTTGGATTTTGAGAGGGCCGCGTACTTCTCCCGTAGAATCCCAAGCCAAGGTTGATGCGCTCCGGGTTGATATTGTTTCTCCAGAACAGCTCAAGGCCCAATTCGATCTCAGTCAAGTTGGTGTGGGCCAATGCATATGGTCCCAGAGCCTACACGAAAAGTCAGTTGCGGATGCGACTTAAGCCGATTGACAAACTCACATCAATAGTCTTGTCCCATACCCCGTCTGATGAAAGATGGAAATGTCAGCGAACGTCACGAGCTTGGAAGATCGACCTACGGATATCATATGTCATGATGTTAAACCAGCTCACATACTGCTCCATCTCTTGCAGATTGAAGCCTCTCAGATACCAGTAGGAGGCCGGCTGCACAAGGTTAGAGCTTCATTCTTGTTGTCTAGTCATTCTGTTCACTTACCACGGCCAGACTGATGCCGTACTTGCGCCCAGAGGCATTGAGGCGTTGTCTCAACCTTCGAAGCAGGTTCACATAGTTATCAAAATCTTCCGGAATGCCCCCACGGTCATCTGCCACAGGATACTCCCAGTCAAGATCAACACCGTCAAGGTTGTACTTCTTCATGAAGGTGATAAGGGAATCAAAGAATGCGTCTTGGTTGGCTTCTGAACCGGCCATGTCTGAGAATGCAGTTTGGTACGGGCCTGGGTCGTTCATGGCCCAGCCTCCGATCGCTAAGAGTATGATTAGAATCGACTTGCTCGGTCATCTGCAGGAGGCCTGATTCTCACCGATCCAAACCTCCAGATCAGGTTGTTTGAGCTTCAGTGCCGCAACGTCTCCATACAGCGATGCAGTCCCGGCGTCCATATCATCCAGCCGGAAGGTTTTTGGGTTGATAAGAGCAAAGGCGAAGTTGATGTGCGTGTAAATGCCTGTCTACGCGTGAGCAAAGAATATTCCTCATACTCTAAGCCACATGTGACTTACCTAATGGAATGTCTTCCGGTGCCATTCCTATTCATTGTCAGTCTCGTTCAACTCACGAGACAGCATGGAAGCATGAGAACACTTACTGCCACAAGGCCTTGCCAAGTTCCATCCCTCGTAGTACCCAATCGTCCTGCCATCGGAAGACCTCGCGCCAGCATCGCACTGAGGCTGAGGCGGGATGTTGCTACCGCAAAAGAGAGCCGTCGTACCGCAAAATCCATATTTGCTGCAGCAGACATTTAATGGGCATTCAGCAAGTTCCGACCACTCCATTCCCCAGCCAGGATCGCACTCGCTCTTCTGATCGCATTGCGACGTACAACCCTCGCCACAGTATTCAGGGCCAAGGCCACAGACTCCCTTGCCAGTCTCGGCGTTGCTTTTGGCATTTGCAGATCAGCGTCTTGTTATACATGTGCACGATGAAAGGACGCAATTTTTCGGGTTTACTCACAGTGGACCGCAGCATCCAACATCACAACCTTCGCTTGTTGAACATTGGTACTTCTCGTCGTCTTGGCATTGAACAACGCTCATTGACGAGAGGAGGATGAGCCACAAACAGCTCCATGACCTTGCGAACATGATGAACAATCAATCTGGTTTTCTGCGGCCAGGCTTGAAGTGCGGATGTGATGAACTAGGAGCAGTTGTAAAATGGAATCCACGGGTTGAAGGAAGGTTCTCAGACCAGGAGACTCAGAACCCAATAGGCAAACTCGTCAACGTAACTCTTCACTGGCCAGACCCCCTGAGAGAGCTAGGAAAGAAGTCTCAGGCGTCATATTGACTCGAGTTGACGATATCCTCGATATGTTGCATAAGAATGCTATAACCAAAGATCCTTTCGCTGTGATGCCCAGAAATAGGAAGGATTCTGCTGTAACCTTGCGAAAATTGTCATCTGATGTTGTTGGTTCAGTTGACAGGGCTGATGAAGGCTAAGGTTCAGCGTCACATCGTCTACCAACGAGACGAGTTTGTACCGGTACAGACAGGAATACAATCAAACTAATGCTGAACCCCTTACAGTAGCATCGGCAGGCTTACATGTCTTGGCTACATGGATAAACCAGACCTCATGATTAACTTTGATCCTCCCGATGCACGAAAACAATAGTCTTACCGGCGGTTACTCGAGTACTCAGAGAAACGCCTCGGAGATTCTTCAACGATGTGAACAATCTTTCAGAGAAACGGGAGCGTTACGATGGCCTGTTTTCAGAGTTGCCTCCGTCTCGGCGTCAGCATTGCGCCGCCCCCTATGTAAACAACATCGACCTGTGATCGACATGGGGCCCATCCGAAAGACACTGAGGTCGCAGCGTCGAAAGGGACTTCTGTGTACAGCTGCCTGTTGGTAATTATCTAGGCATTCACGAGAGGCAAATCGACTTGTAATGCCTGAAATTGAGAGATTGGGTATCCTGCTGCCTCCCGTCCAAGATCTACTCATTTCTGTCCCGAGTTCTTCACGTCTTCTCTTTCTTACACAGGAGCCAGAACAAGTTGGACAAGTTGGCCAGTCGTCATGTACAGCCTACGCTCTTTGATGTTCGCCGCAGTGTTGGCCCACGGGGTCATCGCGGGCTCTCGCATGTGGGAAGCGCCTCTTCACTATCCCTCTGTCGACGCTCCTGTTGAAATCACCCTGAATCTCGAAGGCGTCAACGTCACCCAAGTCGGAACTCATTCGATCAACAGCACAGAGAAGCGATGGGTCACCATCAAAGACGGCGGCGGACGCTTGGCGAGAAGTTTCAAATGGCCAAACAAGAAGATCCGCTTCCACTACGAGACAGAAGAAGCTAAGGAGAAATTGGAAGTCTATCTTGATGCCGCCAAAGCCCTTTGGTCAGCGGCCGGTCTCCCTGATGAGTTCACCTACGAAGAAGTGACCAGCGAGACGGACTACGAGGCGAAAAAGGGACAGATTCTGCAGATCAAGTACAATGACCGCAATTATCTCGGCACCACCCTTGGCCTTCCAACCCAAGACGACGGTGGCACAAGACCAATGATGGATCTCTGTGATTCAGACAAGATTGGTACCCTCAATATCGTGGCTAACTTTGCTCACGAGTTGGGTGTAAGTCCAAATTCCTCATGCTCGCGCCTCCGGCATCTCAAAACGCCCATGAAGCTAATTGTACGTCACAGCACGCTTGGGGATTGCATCATGAACATCAGAACCCCCAATTTTGGGCCATCCCCCACACGGAGACTAAAGGCGATCGGGTCCAATTCGGCCCAGGGTACGGCGAGTTTCGCTGTGAGAGCCTGTCCGACTACCAGGCGACCAAGACCAAACTTGTCGAACGATATGGGGAGGGCGAAGGCAACGCGAGATTGAGGCAGTCCTGTCTAAAGCGTAAACATGCTATAAGGGACGAGTTCAGAGGCGCGATTGAGTGGTTGCCCCTCGATCCGTCGGAAGATTTCGTCGGTAGCGTCAAGGAATTTGACGAACGCTCCATCATGCTCTATCCATCTCGAGCAGGCGGTTCAGGGACGGCCAACGGGCAGGGCGCTGATGACGGACGCGCCGTGGTCCTCACGCGCGCCGACGGTAAGGAGTTGGACTACAACACGGCGCCTTCTGAGCAAGATGTTCAGGGCATCAGGAAGCTTTATGGTGTGCCAAGGAAGACCTACAAGTCGCTCTTAAGTGAGTTGAAGGATCCCAGCAACAGCAGATTCACGGACGAACGCCTGAAGGATGAAGGCTCTAGCTGTAACACCTAAAGGAAGTTTGGGATTGAATCGGCCACGCAGCTGTTTTCCACTTCGATGATGCTACCACCAATATGGCCAGTTCTAGTCTTTCATAGTCCTAAACCATTCAATATATTATTCATACCACGGTCTCTTTTTTTTCGTTCGTCTGCCTCTTGAAAATTACTTTGAAATAGTATTTGAATCCTGACTCTCAACTATACATGATTTAATGGATTGATGGACATAACGCAAAGCTACTTTAAATGCACGAGAGAGATGGCATGATGATTGATAACTCATCGAAGCAGGGGAGCTGAAAGATTCAACTGCTTCAACACCCATCACTCAATTAAAACACATCTGTCCCACTACACCCGTTGGTCAATCCGCCGGCTGCCTTCTGAACTCCTTCATTTTTGAAGCAACGGCCAACCCAGACTACAGTTCGGAAGGACGACTCCCATTCCATGCCATCCTCATCTGGCTCGTCATAATACTTGAATTTCCACTGGGTCAGGCCGCCACCAACGCAACTCCTTGCGTTGCTAAGCAGAGTCTTTTGCCCCCAGTCCCAAGTGCTCCATCCAGCACCTGCGATTCTGTCAGCCATGATTTTCATCTTCATTTCATCACACTTGGAGACAATGAAACTTGCCTTTGAGCTTGTACACGCTGCTGGCCTCGAAAGGATACCAGGTCCCAAAGCAGGAGCCGTAGGGCTCCTTGATCAGCGGCGGTCGATTGTCGCGCTTGATGTTGATTTGGTACGTGAACAGCCCTTGCTGATATTCGCCGCCATACTTCCAATTCAATGGGTTGCTGTCATAAGTCAGTTTTGTAGCTGTGGGAAAGCAAAAAACAGGGTACTCACTGGTCTCCGCCATCACAGCCATGTATTATCCGCGCGAACGCTTCTTTGCAAATTGCCTTGTCGAAGTTACCCGCACCTTCGGCGAGCTTGACAACAAATTCGTGTTCGTCAGGCGTCCCTTTGTCGTAAGATTCCTTGCCAGTCCATTCCCCAGACCCAGTCGAAGGACTGACTCCGTCGCAGAAGTTGCCGTAGTGTTCATCGAGACGCTTCACTGAAGCATACCCCTTGCTACCTGTGCCAGACCAACAGGTGAACTTCTCCGGGGGCGTGCAGGTATCGCTCTCAACCCCAAGAATCTCAGCACGCAGATCAACAATCTTCGCCATGGCAAAGGACGCGATAGTCCGGTGGCCTTCTTCGTTGGGGTGAAACAGCTTGCCCATTGAGTCAGGGGCACCGAGACCAAAGTAGTCCCAAAGCTTGTTGTAAGGGAAGGGCAGTGTATCGGGGTTGTCGTCACCAGGACAGCCAGGAGGCTCAGGAGCACGAGAATCAAGTTTGGAGCGCGCGACGGCTCGAGGATCAGGCGACTTGTACAGGACGCTCTCGTAGATGCTCCGTGTTTTCAGAGCCTCTACTTTGCGCCTGACTTCTTCTGACTGGAGGGCCTCTGCAGCTTCTGCCTCTCTGCGACGGAGCTCATCATGAAGATAAGGTTGGACGTGAGTATCAAGCTTGAAGAACTGCAGGTCCGGTTGTTTCTTGTCAGGATACTCTCCTGTGGAGCTGGGACTACAGTATTGCCCGTCAACACCATCTATTGCCGTTAGCCAAACACTGTATGCCGGGTGGAAAGTTGCTGTCTTACTCCTTGGCCAAGGATCCCAGTTGGAGAACCCTATCTTGTAGCTGACATTGTCTTTCACCTCTTCGATCGCCGTCTTGATCTTGTCGTTGATGCCTCTGACGAGAGAGTTGAACCTCTTCCGGCGCTCTTTTGTGAGTTTTAGACCGGTGAAGGGCCCCTTCTTTGGAATGTACCAAATCTCATCGTCCGTACACGCGTCCGTTTCCTCGTTGAAGTACTCGGCATAGCCATTGTAGACTACAATGCCGTCCTCAGCCATCTTGTCGTCAAGAGCTTCCAAGATCTGCTTGAGATTGTCTTTGAGGATGGTGTCAATGTTCTCCTGGGCCTTTGCAATGACCTGGTTGCATTGATCTTCCGAGTAAAAAGGGATCATGATGCACATCTTGATCATTTGTGCCTGTATTCGAATCAGCATATCTGGCCTTTCATGATCACGAAACACATTGACTCACGAGACATAGATCGTTTCCCCCAGCAGTCATAATAACTAGGTCAACATCATTGTTGTGCAGATTGTTCGCCTGATCGAAGATGTGCATGGATCGATCACCACTACAGGCATGGTATTGGAACTTGTCGATGCTGCTCCCAATCTTGTCATGCACCATCATAGGATATGTGCCGTCGTAGCGGGAGCAAACCCAGTCGTTGTGTCGGTGGACGAAGTCTCCAAGCTGCTCTCCTGCGCCAATTCCAGCTGTGAAGCTGTCGCCAATCGCAGCCATGTGGTTGACCCAGTTGAAATCAGTTGGGTCGCGATCATCTCGTCGAACGAGCTCGACTGCAGATGGAGCGAAAGGCGACGTCCCATTTTGACGACTGACTCTGCCGTAGCAGAGCCCAACGAATGTAGATAGCAACAGCAACCCCTTCATGACAGAAGAGGCCATTGTCAACACCCGGGAAATATTGTTGAAGGAAAGTACAAGACTGAAAACTAGAGCGTGGAGAACAAACGTGATTCGAAGAGAGAAAACCCAAACTTCTCAAGAATATTTCGATGCATACCAAGGCTCCGAGTGCCACGATTTGCTCTTGACCCTATCCCATTCAACTTGATCCCGTCGACATCGCCATGTCATCCAAATTAACGCCGGCCTTCCTTCCACATGGCTCGTTCCGACCCCCAAAGACATCTTCCCTGCGATGTTACTTCATGTCATTCGGGAGCAACCGCCAAGGCGCGAAGGATGTTAAGGTGGCATGCATATTTGGTCCGGTGCATAGCATGAAGGAATACTTGAGAACCTTTACTAGTCAGGGGCTCATGCAAGGTTGCCTCTCCCCTAAGTAATTGCCACCGGATATATCGTATGTTTTGCTGTTGGCGATTGGAGGACGATGCCAAAGTCCCTCCGAAACAATTCTTGGCCCGATATAATTCTTGGCGCGGCGTAGTGATGAGTTCCAATGCAACTTGATGCTGACAGTACCGGTACTTGAACCTCAAAATCCGTCCCTTCATAACAAATCCTTGTTCATCCTTGCAATGTCTGGGTTGAAGAATCAACAGTGAATATTGCAGCCTTACGAGTTTCCTGATCCAAGGCTCGCCTTGGCAGTAAGGCAAGATGCTACCATGATCTTGAACTATTGTCCAACGGCATGTTGATAACCGGCTCAAATGTCTTGAGGTCTTTTTCTTACTGGCTCTTGTGACGGAAAGTCTCATTTCGAGCGGGCGGCTGCTAATTAGGCTGCACACCACCGGGGGTGATGATGAGCAGCTGAGGTGACGAGTCTTACAAATGTCCTCGTGAAAGTCTATGCATTTACCAGACGTAGGATTCTGTCCAGAGGAGCCAATACCTAAGTCCCGGATATGTGAAAGTTCATCAAGGGGTCCTTACTTGGGCGTGATCACGGACAGATGGCTCTCCAGCTTAGCCAACAACCGATACTTCCGAAGGTTCTGTGGTGTCTGTGGACTCATCGAAGATCAACTTGTAAGTTATTCTGCCCTTCCGAAGCGTGAGAGGGCTAAACGAGAATTTCAGAATACCTCAACTTCCCAACTTCAGAGACAACCCTGAGAGCTTGCCCATGGGCGTTGCGATGATGCTATCACGAAGCCTTCTCGCCATCTCTGTCGGAGTGCTGCTGGGGACAGTCGGTGCTCAAGAATCAACGCCGGGCGGCCCAACACATCCAAACATTGCACCGAACTGCAACGCCTTTCACACTGTCGTAGACGGTGATGGCTGTTGGTCTATCCAGCAAAAGTACGGCATCAGCGCCGAGGACTTTCTAGCCTGGAACCCTGACGTCTCCGAGGACTGCCTGACGAACTTCTGGCTCGGAAACGCCTACTGTGTTGGCGTTGGGGCAGCGGTGACGACCTCATCGACGAGTTCAGTCGTGAGCACCAGCAGTGGGCCGATAACCCAGACCACGGTTGTCACAACGCCAAACGCGACATACTCAATTCGAGTGCCCGTAACCGAGTGGGATATCACCGGCACAACCATCGGCACAACGTTCCCGCCGCAGAAGACGCAGGCTGGGCAGCACGCTGACTGCATTGACTGGCACTACGTGGCCGATGCCCATACCTGCGCGTACATCGTCGAGTCGTACGGAGGGCCGGAGCTCACAATGAGTAATTTGTATGTTACGCTCCCCCTTTCTGGAACTATACATCTTCTCTGACAATCGATTCTGCAGTCTATCGTGGAACCCAGCAATTGGTTCTGACTGTGGTGGTTTGATCTGGGATACATGGGTCTGTGTCAGTATCAAGCCACAGACATCCACTTTCTCATACAACTTTCCCACTGCAAACGGTTCGACTATACCCATTCCAGAGCCAACCGAATACACTCCTACATCTCTCCCGCCTGTTGAGACACTTACGCCTTCGCCAACTCAGCCTGGTCTGTCACCAAGCTGTCGGGCATTCTACAAGGCGCAGGCCGTATGTGTTCCCTCGATCCATCCTCTCTAGTATTGCTAACATGAAACCCGACAGGATGACAACTGTCAAGTGATCCTTGGCTTTGGCGTTTCAACCGAAGAACAATTCTTCGAATGGAACCCGGCCCTCGATGGCAACTGCAACGGTCTCTGGCTCGACTACTTTTACTGCATAGCAGCATACGATCCATTGGACACCGACAACCTGCCGCCTCTGGCCACCGTCACCTCGCGGCCTTCCAATGTTGCCGGCGGCACCACAGGCCTGTGTACCATCTGGTATCAGGCATCCAAAGTCGATACCTGTGACAGTATTGTTGGACGATTCGGGCGCTTCTCACTCGCCGAGTTTCTAGAGTGGAATCTTGGCGTGGGAAGCGACTGTTCTGGCATCCAGGCTGGGTGGTCGTACTGTGTTGCCATTCCTGGCACGCCGACTGACCCCACGAGCGAGCCTGATCAGCCGTCCATTCCGACGGGGACGCCTACTCAGACAGGCATCGCCACGGATTGCAGTAGCTTCTGGCTTGTCTCCAGGTGAGCTCGTAACCCGTGTTGCTAGCTGGACTCGATGCGCTAACATCTTTGTAGTGACGAAACATGTGCCAGCATTGCCGACCACAACGGCATCACTGTCGAGCAGCTCTTGACCTGGAACCCTGCCCTCGGTACAACGTCATGCAGTGGCCTCAAAGCAGACGTCTATGTTTGTGTTGCCACTGGAGGATCTAGCGGGAGTGCCACTTTGACTGCACCGCCCATCACTGCTACGACATCTTCGGCGCCTCCAACAACCACGACGGAGGCTACGATTCAGACGCCGTCTCCAGTCCAGGTAAGAATGGCTCTCCTTGCCTTTTTCAAAACTCCGTATAGGATAGAATTGGCTGACTGTATGTAATAGGAGGGTATGGTGTCTGGTTGCCGCAGATTCTACTTCACTCTAGACGGCGACGGCTGCTGGGCCATTGCCAACGCCGCTGGCATAGACCTCAAGTAAGCAACTGAATCCCTCCTGCCATCCAGTGCGCTGCTGACCTTGAACTTCCCTTAGTGACTTCTATGCCTGGAATCCGGCTGTTGGTACAGATTGCTTGAATCTCTGGAGAGACACTTGGTACTGCATTGGTATTAGCGGTCCAGCGACGACAATCTCTGGTGGACCACCCGTGCCAACTTGAGATGATAATGGTGTGCTCAAAGGTGTTCCTATTCATATGATCATAGCCAGTGTAACCCGTAGATAATGAGATCTTCGTCCTTAACGTTCATGTCGTCTCTCCAATTTCGACCTGCGCCACTTCCAAAGCAGTAATTAGGTAGGATGGTTTCGGCCGACAAGTCCGTCTTTCCTAGCTGGAGCCAGTATCCGTTTATCCCTTGGTTTGGACCGGATAACTCACACCAATGCCGCTCTTTTTGCTTCTTGTAGAAGTGCTCGACGGTACGGCCATCCTCTTTCGCCTTGTCGCGGCTCTGCCAAAAAAGGGAGCTAGGGACGGCGACAGTGCACTCACGAACTGTCGGAGGCAGTTGCCGCAGCATACTTTCGACAGGCTTCATGAGCTCTTGCAAATGAGTATAGGCAATTTTCCAAGGGGAGAACGCCCTCGCCGTCGTGCTTCTCAAGGAAAGGTGGAGGGTCTGCAAGTTACGGAAAGCGTCTGGCAGGTGGCCCATCAGGTCGTAGAAGGGCTCCTTCTGGCAGTACAGAGGTAATGGATTAACAGGGGGCGTGTTTTCGGCAGGCAACATCCAGCCGTATGGAGAGAAGAAACACTGTAATTCCAGGCGCGGAATAGCGGCCCAACGATGCGGTAGGAAGAGCTGCTGTGCATGGCGGAGGATCACCATGTCTTGGATGCGGAACGTGTTGGTTCCAAATAGCACATCCAGGCCCTCGACGTAGCTGCAACACATGTTAAGGTAAGGCCTCCAGATGGGGACGGATCAATGGCTTACGCTTGACGACAACTGAGCAGCCAGCCCATGATGCCCAAAGAGCATTTCGAGGGAGCTTCACCGGGCCAATGTTCACAGACATTGTCGTTGCTCGCGCAAGAATCATCACAAGGCTCACTAAAACGTGACCAGCTAGATGTGCCCGAGAGGAGTTTCGCATGGCAAACGCAGCTATACCACTGCCATCGCTTCGTTTTGAGCTTGTACAAGGCAGACGCAGCTGCTAGTTCTTTCCCGGTAGGCCGCGGTGCTCGACGAAAACGATGTTCCTCGTTTGGTGCATCCCGCTGCTCAATCCTAGGGCGGTCGTAGACGAGATCAATGTGGATGGTTTGCTCTCCAAACGCTTCAATGAGAATCTGCCGGCGGATCTCGAGGGGGATGCGCTCGAAGAGTCCAAAGGTGCCGCTTGGTTCACAGGAAGGAGGCGTAATCGGTCGCGACCGAGGGCTTGAGATTGCTGGGATTGCTGGAATCACTGGAAGGTCTGCTTCTGGAGCTGAGGGGGACGAATCTGGCTGTGACTGCCTGGATGCCGACGAACCAGGCCTGTGAAGTTTCCGAACCAATTTAGCCAGCATCGCGAGGAAAGAACCGTGCGACGGTTTGAGTTGCAGAACGAGAGCCGAGGAGCCTCGTAGCCGGGTGTTTCGCAGCCATGGGAGCGACTACCTGCATTTAAGTACTTTTGTCTAGCATTCGACTCCTCCTACCTCCAGAAAGCAACATGAGATGCAAGTCGAGCGAGGCAAGTGAGCGTGCATGGGTACGGTACCTACCTGAGGTACCCTTGATCCTTCCTCATGTCTTAGCTGCATAGAATGGGTAGATATATGCATCTAAGGCAGGTAGGCAGTCCATCAGGGAAGTGCCGGACAACACGCGCTTGCTCCAGCGGGACGCGTTAATGAGCCCAGCGCGTTTCACTCCGTGCTCCGTGGCACCTTTTACCCATCATTGATCAAGTGCCTCTCTGCTGCCATCTTCATCCCATACAAGCACGAGACCACCTCAAGCCAAAATCTCCAACAGCAGCTCTTTTCGTGGATAATCATACTCCGCATACCTGGTCATCAACGGTGAGATTCCGCTTTCTTCCATGATCCTTGTGAAAAATAACAAATAACTGATCCAAGAGATAGGCATACCGTGCTAGCGACTCAGCAAGCACTGTCGTCCGGATCTGTCCAAGCTGCCGCGTCGAGTGGACATCTCGTACTGTGCCAGTGGCCGAGGCCCGCAGAAGACTGCCTGCAAGGTCTCCTAATACCACCGTCAACTGTGCATCTTCGTCCTGCACACTGTCCGAGAATTTAACCTCATCGCCCCCTTGACCAAGCATTCAGTCAACCACACACGCCATCAAGTCCGGTTCGACCAAGGTTGTGCGGCCTAGCAAAACAGATTTTCTATCAGCTTGACCCATATTAGATCACCGTACACTCTGCAGCAGCCATGGCGCCCGCACGCCAACCGCCTCAGCCGTTCGCAAAGGACGAAAAGGTCCTCTGCTTCCACGGCGAGATGCTGTATGAGGCAAAAATTCTCGACATCCAGACCGCTGAATCTGGCGAAGGCTTCCAGTACCGCATCCATTACAAGGGATGGAAGAACACTTGGGACGACTGGGTTTCTATCGACCGCATTCGTAAATTCACTGAGGAGAATAAGGAGCTGGCCAGCCAGTTGCACGCCCAGATGAAGGATCTCCGCCAGAAGAGCAGTGCCAAGGCCCCAAAGAAGGGAGCTCGCGCCAACGGAACCGACTCAGCCCGCGGTAGTGAGGAGCGGACTGCGGGAGTTGCTGCCAGCGGTCGTGGCCCTCGACGGGCGAGAGATTTTGATCTGGAACAGGTGAGCTTGAAATGTCCTTTCCTTTTGTGTTGTTCCTTTGTCTGCGTTCTTCGGGCCTCGATTTCTCCCGCCTGGTTCATTTCTGGGTGTCTGCAAGGTCTGGGCACGTCATGATGTTTCGTGAAACGACACGATCAAAAGGAAACGAATTGGGGGACAACAAGGGGTGAATAGCTTCAGGTCGGGTGGGGCCATTAGGGTCGACGTGCAGACCCGGAGGGCATGCAGAACCACTCACCTTGGGCCTTTGTGCGAAGGCCTTGACCTGTCGAGGTGGCTGGGTCTTTTTTCATCTGAAGGACAGCAAAAGCGGAAGGCGAAAGGGTCTTTACTTTCCTCGACGTTTCTGCCCACGAGCAGCTTTTTCCCTCGACACAATTCTTCTTTGCCAACCACTTTTACAACCAAATCCTTTCTCCGATACCTTGGTCGCTGGTCTCGACAAATTTTCAACACCAAAACATACAGCCCGCTGGCTTCGGGTCTTCTTTTCTCAGTAATCGTTTTCTTCCATAATTTCGTCCACACCGAAATTCCCATCGCCAACATGAGTGTGTCTTGGGTATCGGCCGATTCCCAGCGTGGCTGGAGGCACGAACAGCAAAGAAACCTCCATACCCGTGAACCTTCACCAGAGGTTTTCGCTCGATTCTCGACTTACTACCGCGCCCCTGTCATGGCCGGCCAACAGCAGGTCGTGGAAGAGAATGAGAACGAGGGAGAAGAGAAGGATTACGACTATCGTCGGCCCGAATCATCTACAGACGAAGAGGAAGAGGACTACGTGTACAGGCGTCAGCAGTGGTTGGCCGGCGCCGGCAGCCCCTCTACTGGCGAGGACGATTGGGCCGGATACGCAGAGGACAGCGAAGCCGAGTCGAGTCAGCCCGCTGGACTCAGAGACGGCGAAAACGACATCGGAAGCCACTTCAAAATAGACCCACACGACCTTCTCAGAGAACTAGAGGGACGCAACTACAGAGTCGCTGACGAAAGCTGTGGCTACGACGGTGTCGACGAGAACGTTCTTCGCCCAGCCTCCGTCCAAGACGACCATTACGACGGAGACTGCGAGGATAACGAGTCTTGGTGGTACGATGAGAGTAACGATAACGAGGTTCTGGACGACAATGCATACCGTCACGACGAATTTCTCGAGCGTTGGGGGTCTGTTGACTGGCACCAAGAGCCAAGGCAACGCGAGGACACGCCCATCTCGCCCCGAACCAGAGCTGGTCCTCCTGGTAGCCCTGCCAGTTGTCTCAGTGACCGAAATGACCTCAGCGATTCCAGTGACTCCAGCGTTGAGTTCCTCTTTGAATGCCAAGCCTGGAATTCGTCAACAAACCGCAGTGTTAGCAGCATCGACACTCAGCTGTCTTCCTTCTCCGACGCTTCAAAGCGTGAGAGGTCGGAATCGCTAGAGGGCCTGCAAGATCCAGTCCAGGTGAACTCGCTACGCCGCGCAGTTATTCACAGCGAGAGCAATAAGCGAAAGCGGGAGGACAGCGTCGAATTTCTCTTCGAATTTGAACGCAATGTCAGACTGAAATACAACAATTCGATCTAAATCCTTCACAAGCAATTTGCACAACAGGTACTGCGCGGCTGGTTCCGCACCGGCTTCGACGCTTTGGCAGGAACTACCCAAGAACGCACTTGCCCAAGCCACATCTCACATCTCCGAAGCCTCTATTCACCCCAAACCACACCTCACATCTCCGAAGCCTCCAAACACAACTGGTTCTCCATCTTGGCCTTTCACATCAAAATGTCTGCCGCCTCGACTAATTGCAACTTGCTCTTTCCAACTTCATTCGCTATCCCTCTTAATACCTTCTCAACCACACACATCATGGCGACTAGCACCACGGGCAAAAGACGCATCCGCAAACCTCGACCAGCGGATGCCACAAGGCGGCGAGCACGCGATTCCAAAAACACTGGCTGGAAGGAACCACGCCTGGCTGCGGACTACTTGTGCCAGCCGGCTCCTCGCACCAAGACATATGTCACCAAGGATGGAAGGACCAACTTCGACGGTCGCTATGCTCTCAAGCCCAAGCCCCGCAAGAGGGAACAGCCGGTCCGTCAGAGGCGAGGTGCCAACTCACCGATGGACAAGCCAAAGGAAGAAGTCAGCCCAGAGCACTATGACCTTGCAACCCCATGGCTACCAGTAACCGTATGTTGGACTACATGCAACTGGGAGAAATCGCACGGCCAGGAGCCCAGTGGCTGCGGCATTTTGTTTTCCTTTTTTTCATGTTGCGATTGCCAGATTACACCTGGTGAAAATGCTAATAGGTCTTCAGGAGGATAGTTTCCATGCTCGTCCATCCATCAAGTTGCCCATTCCTGATCACATCAAGGCGATGCTCGTGGACGACTGGGAGAACATCACCAAGAACAACCAGCTGGTACCTCTTCCCCATCCTCATCCTGTTGATGAGATCTTGAACGACTACTTGGCTTTCGAGAAGCCTAACAGAGAGGACGGCTCAGCCAACATGGACATCCTCGAGGAAGTCCTCGCTGGTCTCCGCGAGTACTTTGAGAAGTCACTCAGCCGCATTCTTCTGTACCGGTAAGTCCTGCTGATAACTGACAATTGACACATCAAGCTAATATTACCCAAGCTTTGAGCGCCCCCAATACCACGAGATCCGCAAGGATTGGGAGAAGGCCGGTGAGAATGACACGCACAAATCTGTGTGCGACACCTATGGTGCCGAGCACTTGTGCCGCCTGATGGGTAAGTTCAGCGAATATCCCACCGAGTACCAGCACTAACAAGAAGCAGTTTCCTTACCTGAGCTGGTTGCCCAGACGAACATGGATCATCAGTCCGTTGGCCGTCTTCGCGAGGAGCTCTCCAAGTTCACTGTCTGGCTTGGCAAGCATGCGAAGAACTACTTCGTCAGCGAGTACGAGACGCCCTCCCAGGAGTATATCGATAAGGCACGGGGTTTCTAGAGAAAGGATGTACCTGCCATCGATGTGCTCAACGGGCGTAAGCCTCACTGATAACATTCGACTTGCCAACTTGTTGCACGCCCCTCATATCATTTTGGGCCCCGCTCTCAAGCTTCGGGGGAAGTGTTTTTTGAGAATAGCAGAAGGGTCGTCATGAGAGGAGACTGCTAGTCTCAGGTTCGCCCAACCGATATGGAGTTTGAGAAAATACATAATTACATTTCGCGGAGGTTTGTTTGCGCAGAGAACCTCTGCGATGGGAGAGGGAAATTGGTCATGGTTCTTAGCATAAGTCTTTTCAGTCACTTTTTTGGTGATTCCCCGCAAACGGTCAATCAGTCAGGTAGCCTTGGTCATTACTAGCAAACCCAGGCTCAATAGAACAGATGAATCAGAGAATCATGAAATTGAGTGAACTTTTGTTTATGGTGTGAAAGACTGCGCCGATTCTCGAGTCGCAGGTGTTGTACATGCCGTCATGTTTTGTACAGATCGTGATGCTAGTACACGACTGGACTTTCCAAAGTCCCATAACCAGAGCAACGATATCTGGCTACCCTCCTCCCTCGCAGTATACTCTGCGACGTTTCTCGCATGTCGGATTCAATCCCCATCTCAGCAGCCGTCTCCGCCCCCCTCCCCCCTCCGTTGCCGTACCTTCGTCCAATATCTCACCGCGCAACAGCCTTCTCGACGTAGAACCCGGGATCCGGCCTCCTCGCCTCCTTCATCTCGAACTTGCTCAGCGGGCGGTCGACCTCGTCAACCTTGACCAGCTCCTTGACCTTCATGATCATACCGGCGAACTCGGGCTTGACGGGGTGGAAGACGGTCTGCGAGCGGCGGTGGAGGCCGAGGGCCTCGAGGACGCCGCGGGTGTTCTTTGGCAGGCCGATGGCCGAGCGGTGCAGGGTGATGCGGAAGAAGGACATTGTGATCGCGTGGCTTTGGTGGCCGTGTGTGGTGGGTAGGTAGATGGGTGGACGGTCTGCGCCTCGATCGCTGGCGTCGTGGGTCGTGGTTTGGTGGTGTTTCTGTGCGGGGAGAGTTAGCTTCGCCGAGTAGTTGACTGTGGTAGGGCTTGGAAAGCGTACAATTGACTACCTGCCGTGGCAGTTCCGTTCGTCCCGTCGTAAATGTCGTGAGGCTCAAGCACCCTGGCACTGAGGCTGGTCTGGAGGGATCCAAAAATCACTGAAGCTCCCGTTGGAATTTTGGTGGTCCGTGCATCATTCGGACGGAGTTTGCCGGATAGTGGGTCCAGCCTTTTTGCTCCCTCGGGGTGGGTGAAAATCGCAGTGAAATTGGGCAAGCTTGTGTAACAGCCTCAAAAGCGTCCGAATCGGGTCACAGACGAATGCGCGCAGGCACGCTGGATGAGACTCAATTTTTTTCGTCATTAATATTGAATATGCTTCGCAAGAACTTACGATCCTCACTTGAATCTAGAATAATTCGTCATATCTTGTAATCGCTTAACATCTGACACTCATATGTTCGTTCCATTGCGCAGATTTTACGCAATCTTCAATCGCAAGTAAATTGCAATGTCCGTATAAAGCTCTCAGCTGGTCATTCTTCTTTCTATGTCTATCTACAAAAGCATAGCAAGCGGAAGATGCTGCCTCTGTCCTCTCCAAGCCCTGCAGAATGGCTTCAAACGTAAGGTCCATTTTCCAAAGATACAAAGCTCACGGCGTGAGCGAGCGAAACCGTACGGTTTTGTGCTTGTTCAAGCAAAGCTTACCGCTCTTAAACCTCGGGAAGTCTAATGCTGTATACTTTCCCCAATGTCAACAAAACCACGATGGCTGGCGCTATTCCGCGTCCCCATGTGTAAGCTAGCCTCTGAATTCAATGTACAGGAAATCCAAGCATTCTCCGCAAGGCTCCCAACACGAAAGACGCCTTTGAAGAAGCCCAATAGGCCCAGCACTAGAACTGGTCGAGACACATTGAATTGCGCATGCGACACTCATGTTGGGCCTGTTCGTAGGCGTGTTCTGATCCAACCGAGGCCCCGCCGGAGCCAACTCCGACCGGGCATAACAACGGCCAACGCAAATTAGAGTCACCAGAAGAAGACCATTGGATGATGAAAACGGGCAAAACCATTAATGCAGTCCTTTAAGGACTACCAGCACTACACGTATATAGCTTGTCGTACAAGACGCCATTTAGCACACCATCATCCCTCGCATGACGTTAAAATCATTTACTCCATTTCTATAGCCACATCCCGTGGCGACCCATGATCCTCCCCCGCTAACCTCAAAACCCTTACATCTGAACCTCCACTCTGCCCTCGGCGCCTGGCGGGCCGGAGCCAAGCTGGGGAAGGATGTAGGTAATGTCATCCCACGGGTGACGGTACAGACCAGTACGCAGTCTCTTCTGGTCGAGGTAGTGGGCAATAAGACCGATGGAACGGCCGAGGACGAACAGACCGTTAAGAACACCCATCTTGAGGTAGTCCTCGGCCTCTTCGGAGGAGAAGGCACCGCAGTTGCGCATGAGGTCGACGAAGCAGACAGCGATGCAGCCGTCGACGTTGAGAATGAGGTTGTCCTTCTTGGAGGTGGTGACGGTCTCAACAGCCAGGGCGTAGTCGAGGAGCTTGTGGCTGGGGAACTTGGCCAGGACGTACTCCTTAACAAGCTCGACACGGAGATCGGGGTTGTTGCGGGACTTGACACGGTGTCCAATACCGGGGATGAGCTTGTTCGCCTTGCGCATGTTGTCGACGAACTCACGGGGGCTCAGGCCCTTGTCGAAAGCCTTGGTGAACTCCTCAGCGGCACCGTCAAGGGCACCACCGAAACGAGAACCAATGGTCAACAGACCAGCGACGAGCGAGGAGATGAGGTCCTTGCCAGCACGGGTGGTGATAATGGTGTTCATGGCACCGGACACGGCGGGACCGTGATCGGCAGTGAGCATGAGAACCATCTCGAGGAACTTGGAGGCGTAGGGAGGAAGGCGGCGACGGAACCACAGGAGAGACATGACACCACCAATGCCGATCTCCTCCTTGAAGACGTCCGAAATGGGCATGCCAGCGTACAGGAGCTCCTGGCCACGGTCGTCGGAAATGGTGGAGATGAAGGCAGCGGGCTTACGGATGAGACCAAGCTCCTGGGCCCAGGAGTAGTCGATGGGGATCTTGGGAACGACGGGCTCAGGCTGGGGCTTGATGGTGCCGTTCTTGACGAGGGTGTCGTAGACACCCTTGAGGGTCTGAGGCATGTCCTCGAAGGTATCGGGGACGAAGAAGCCAGCCTCCTTCATCTTCTCGTTCTTGGTCTTGGCCGTCTCCAGGGTGGAGTTGGCGAAGGCACCGGCGTGACCGAACTGAACCTCAGTCTTGAACATGCTGGCGCAAGTACCAATGGCCCAGGCAACAATGGGCTTGGTGATGATGCCGTCCTCGACGGCCTTAATGACCTTGTACTCCTCAACACCACCAACCTCACCAAGCAGGACGAGGATCTTGCAGTCGGGGTCGGCCTGGTATCTGAGCAAATGGTCGATGAAGGTGGTTCCAGGGTATCTGTCACCACCAATGGCAACACCCTCGTAGACACCGTCGGTGTTGTTGGCGATAATGTTGTTCAGCTCGTTGGACATACCACCAGACTTGGAGACGTAACCAACGGAACCCTTGCGGTAGAGCTTGGAGGCAACGATGTTGTCCATCATACCACCGGTGTTGCCGATCTTGAAGCAACCGGGCTTGATGCCACCAACGGTGGCGGGGCCAATAATGGTAACACCCTTCTGCTGGGCCTTGTGGGCAATCTCACGGGCACGCTGGGAGATTTGTTAGTCCCGTACGAGCAATTGGCTGAGGCAATGGCAGGAACTTACGCGCTCAGGAACACCCTCAGCAATGATGGCAATGGTCTTGATCTGAGGGTTCTCCATCAGCTCCATGGTGGAGCTGTAGACACTACGGGAGGAAGCGAAGTTGACAACGACGTCGACATCGGGGTGCTTGGCCATGGCCTTGTTGACCTCCTGGTAGACGGGCAGGAGAGTCTCGCTGGTTCCCCAGTACATCTTGCTGACGAACTGGCCGCCGAAGGTGTAGATAATACCGGCAACGGAGGGGGTCTTGCGCTTGCAGATGAAGTCGAAGTCCAGCATGCCCTGGACGGCGCGGGGCTGCAGACCGTAGACGAAGCATCTGGTCTTGTCGTTGAACAGAGCGTGTTCGGGGAGGGGGCTCAAAGGACGGCTGGGAGCGCTGAAGCGTGTGATGTTGTCGTTGGCAGACAGGCCGCTGGCTGCCTTGGCGCCATTGGCACCGTTAGCGGAGGGAGTGGCCGCAGGCATTGTGAGAGTCGAGCTTCGTCGTTGGGGGAAATCTCAACAACAGGAGGGGAAAGGGGAAAAAAAGTCTGGCGAGGGGTAACTCGGTCAGCAAGCTTGTCAAAGCAGACAATGGACGCCAGAAGCAACGAAGAAGATGTCTGCCCGCGAGAGAAAGTTGCTCCAAGTGAGGATTTCAAGTTGTAGGTGGAGGAGGAGGAAGTGTGGCAGAAAACAAACGAGTCGGAATTGTGGTGGGGAGTAGGTGAGATTTCAGGAGGGAGTCGGAGGACGACGTTCGCAGAAGCTGAAATCGTTGGATCTGCGAGGCTACTGCTCATCGGCAGCTGGGGACACCACCAGACAAATAGTGGACCTTTGAATTGGCGAAGCCCCAGCTCCTTGGGGGAGACGAGTAGTGCGACCGGGTGCGTATGTCGATCGAAGCGGGTGCGAAGGCGACGGAGGTGGTGGCAGAATGACACGACAGGGGTGGTGTGGTGGGATGGATTCTGGTGACGGTGTTACTGACCTGGCAATGAGCGATGTTGGTGATGGCGGCACAACAGCAAAGTCCAGCTTCTTTCTTTTGTCGAGCTGACGGAGGGTTCGAGAGGTTCGAGGACGTCGGGGGAGGAGAGCTGGCGAGAGGAAGGAGAAGAAGAGGGAAGAAAAGAGAGTCGGAGATG